TGCAGGGCAGGGCTTCACAACACTCCCGCTACCTCCCCAGGCACAGACCCATCTTAACCTCGGTAAGCTGAACACTGAGGCAGATCAGCTCTCACGTTAACACGAACGCCGCAGTCGCAGGACAGCACCAAACAGCTTGAGCTGCCCGAAGGCAAAGTCCTTTGACAAATTCTGTTGTAAAGATAGATTTTGGGATTTGAGCAATGACTTGCAAAATCATTAATGCTAAATTAGTAGCAATAACCCAGGGTTCAACAGTGGGCACCTACGGCATATGCCCAGTTTGCACATTTGGCTCAGGGATGCAGAGAGGCCACGTCTGCAGGCCAAAGCATGGCTTTGATTGTATAAATATGACTTCTAGGTCATGGCTAGATTACAAAACCTCCTCATGGGGACTGTATGGACAGAAAAGCTTTCTCTCATCTGAAGTCATTTTGGAACAAAGTATAATTATTTTGCTATTAAGTTCCGCTGGTGTAGGAACATCATGAAACATCCCCAAAGCCCACACCTCTAAATGACATTGGTAAAGTGGTTAAAAACATTAGAGTAATAGTGAATATTAGATTCTGTTTATTGAGAGCTACTTGCAGCTACTGGAGGGCTGTGTATTGGGGAAGGCTATTAATTAGCAAGGCACCGTGCATTAGTATGCACAGAGCAGTTTCACTGTCCTAGTATTTCATTCATCTTGCCACGTCTTTCCCCTGCCGCGGCCTCTCTGAGACCAACCGGTGCAGAGCTACGGGACACCCCTGAACCCACGGCCACCAGGATGCTTTTATCTCCATTCCCACCAGTGCCTGGACCAGCCCGTCGTCCCCACTGCCCACCCGCTCTCTGTCCTGCCTTTGTCCAAGCTGAACACGCGTGGGCAGCGCTAACGGAGCAGACAGCCCGAGCGGCGAGAAGACCTGGCCGAGCGCGCACCCACGTCGGCGCGTCTGTCAGCTACCTGGCTCCAGGCAGCCTCTCCTCTGACAGCTTTATGGCCGATACTAAAGAGAATCAATATGAGGGCAAGGGGTTGACATTTCATTTTCTAAAAAGTGATCCATTGAGGGCCAATCACCAAGCAGTGTTTATCAGCCTTGGGAAGCGACATTTTTTTAGGGGGGGAGGAGGGGAAGGCATCATCTCAAAGCAGCTCGACAGGCTCAATTCTCCAAGGTGGCGACTCATAATTAGAAATCCAATGTATCCTGCTATCAATCCTGCCTTAAATAATAAGGTGATCAATAAAAGCGGAGAGGAGATTAAGTCATCAAGCTCAGTGATGATATTTTCTGTTGCAATGGCTTTTAATAAACCTGTCTCGCCGCATTACATTTTCATACGTTCTGCTCTTCTTTCTTCTTGCCAGCATGGAGGCTTTGAGTTGGACATCCACAGAAAGCTGAAACAATGCATGCCCTCTTTCCAGATACTGCAGTCATAGTAATGACTTAGCTGCTCTTTAAGACAATTGAAAGCCAGAGAGCAAATCAAGAGGAATTTGTGCACATTTATGCCTGGTGCCATTAAACTGATCAGCAGCGTGACAAAATGTGCATCCCTCAGATCCCAGGCTTCAGATGCCATAACGATATGTCCAGTTTCACCTCAGAATTACGCTGAAGCAAAATCATGCTGATCTTTTTAAGTGAGACTGAACACAAGGATGAAGACAAACCCTCGCACTGCGTTTATGTCCACACTGTCCTCCCAATCGCAGGATTGTTCCTGATGCCTGAGTTGAATGTGGGAGAATGAACAAGTGCTTGGTAGAAGATTACGGTCCTGCTCTGATGAAATAACCATCGATCCTGTCTGCTGTGTTACTGCATATGACACTGCTGAATGACTGTGGCTTCTGTTTTACAGTCACATCCACACACACGGGAAGGACTAACGCCAAAGACTAATGCAGACTCATACAGACTAACACAGAAATCACAGTCTGATGGATTAGTTCACAACAGTGCAGTTGTTTATTCCCTGTCTATCAGGAGTCAGTCCAAGAAAATCTGTTGTACCCATACCCATTAAACTTAACTTCACATTACACTAACCACAAATCTCTAGCTGGTTTGCTTCTCAATGCCAGTTATTGGAATCAGCTTTGCATTTGAAGGGCAAATAGAGCTGGAACTATTGCCATTACATCACATGCTGCTTGGTACTAATGTTGAGAAGATCAAAGCTACATGGGAGAAGGCTTGTAATGCAAATGCACTGTTTATGATGCTAATCAAAGAATTTAGCTTTGTTTGGAGGAGACAAAAAGCTCCCTCATGAAAAAGGGGGGGGGGGAGAGAAGCTTAAGTTCTTACCTCCTGCTGATGACAAAGGCTGCAATGAGAATGACCACAAGAACAACACTGCCAGCCACTGAAACAAGGAGCACTGTGGGATTGGTACCATCGCCAATGATGGGGGAAGGAACTGGAAACAGAGAAGGGAGCATTAGTGTCAGACACTCTCAAAAAATCAACCCAGGTAGCACTCAATGAGGCTTTCTCACTTGCGAAGAGAGTTTAGAGTAGCACTCAAATCTACCTTCAGACCTTTATTATATAGTCATTTGACACAATTTTCCAACAGGGCCCTAATTAGCTGAAGACACAATGTTTGATAATGATTTGGGGAACTTCAGTTCACTGGGAACAAAGACTCCCTCTCCTTTTCCCCTTCCGTGTTGCTCAGAGGATATAACGGCTATTTTTTTGCCTTTCTAATTGCTTTCCACTCTTCTTTCCTCCTCCTCTCAGTGGGGCCAGATGATCACTCCTCAGCTGTCACAAAGAGAGTAAGTTATTTTAAAATGTCTACCCTCTTCCTGCTGGATTGATTCTGTTCAGCTGTAACATCCTGAAGGATGTTGCCACTAACTAGCGTGACCTTAAATTGATTTAAGCAGACCTGTATGTCCAAAATAAAATAGGCTTGGTCACACAGCCTTCCTGCCACTGAAAAGCAAACACTTTGGGGGATATATTTGCATGTTTCCTTCAGCAAAGTGAAAGCTCTACTGACAACATAATTCAAACATTCTGTCTTTACATGACTGTCCAAGGAAAAGTGCAAGTGTGCGAGCTGATGTAGGACACCTAACTGATCTGTCAATACCTTGCAAAGGGGAGTAACAGGGTTCTATTCCCCTGCAAACGAGTCTTCCAAAACATGTGCAGGCATCTGCATTTACAGTAAACAAAACAGGTACATAAATCTCTCAGGCATCAACAGCCTCCAAGTGTTTACAGGGCGCGCGTCTCCTGACGCCACACTGCAGCATTTTCACTGCTAGAATCTAGAAGCATATCCAAGCAGATGCCTGGGGTCAGATCCTAACGGTCGTGCAGCCACGGAAGAACATTTTCCCAGAACACACTCCAGTCCAAGTCACCAACGGGCAACTCCCATCACTCAGCTCATTGCATCTGCACGCTTTGCTCAAGGAAAAGAAAATCAGTGGGCTTGTCATTACCTGTGTTAGTTGTGAACTCAAACGGCCCACTGAAGTCTCCGTATCCCGCTGCTGTCCTGGCCCGCACGTGAAATACGTATGAAGTCAGGGGGTTCAGGCCTTTGATGTCAGTATTCCTGGAGGCTGTCTTCACAATGCGATAGCTGCGCTCGTTTTGGTCCTGGCAACAAAAGAACACAGTGGTGATCAAGTGCAAATGCCTCCCTGCACCGTGAACCACGGAACCCCGTTTCCTTGCCAAAACTGTCATGATGAAAGAAGATGAGTAACAAGGATGGAATTCTCAAAATACGTCCCGAGGGCTCCTGCTGCCGGCCTTGCTCAATACCCCCAGCACTGCATGCTTCATGGAGCTCTGAGCAAGCCAAAAATGGATGATGAGGCAGTAGGTATGATGCTCACATATCAGATTATTTAAGAAATCACACAACGAAATCCTTTGGAAAACAGCCACTCCTTCAAATAGGATCCTCTTGATGAACAAGCAACATCTTACGCACACACGCTGGCACTTTCTTATTCTTCCTACCAGCCAGGAGCCATGTAAAAAACATGATAAAAGTATTTTAAGAAAGAAAAGACATAGAAAATGTCTTCCAGAAAGTCCAGTCTTAAAAACTGTTCTATTTTTGGCTGGAAAAATCCATCAGAAAATGTAATAATCTAGCTTCCTTGCAAATCATATGCCGCCTTCTGTATGTGTTAGGGAAGCAAGTAAGTGATTATACAAATTTAGAAGTGTGCATGTGAGAGGGAGCGCGCACAAGCAGGAGCAGGTAATTGTTCATTTTTTGCAGACAACCTTCAAAGAAAATAGCTCTTTTCATAGTTCCATGCTTGAGAAGCTATTTGTAGGAATAACATCTCCCTCTAACTTGGGAAGTATGAAGAATGTAATTTTCTTTCCTTATTCTCTATTAAAAGCCATCCAGCCCACACTATCACTCTGAGCGGAAGCTATTGGCAAACAGATCTTATTAGTATTGCTGTGTTATATACTTCATTATTATACTTCTGTCTATGAAGTAATGCTAACGTCTCACTTCTGCCCAAGATTATTGATTCTCGTTATAAATACGCTTGCTACAAAAGCTCAGTTCCTAGTAGGAAAAAATAACAAAATACTCATACCATACAGCTGGAACAGCCTATGAGTCCTATTCTGTCAAGCAACCATTCAAGTGCATGAAATCCTTAATTGGATTTTATTAAACTGAATCTATTTGGTTTCAAATGATGGAATCCTATCTGGAAATAAACTGTAATGGAATAAAGTAAAACACCCTCCCCAGACCCAAACAAAACTCCTTGCTTGGCCATTTTTGAACAGTACCTTTTCATAGTATTTGACTTCGTACTCCAGGATGACTCCATTTGGCCTGTCAGGTTCCAGCCAAGCCAAGGCCACGCTGTGCCTTGTTATCTCTTTAGCCTGGATCAAAGCAATTGGGGACGGAGCTGCCAGGATTTAAAAAAAAAAAATTAAAAAATTGTAAGCAATAATCCAGTTTTAATGAGGAACGTATATTTTTAATCATAACTTTCACCACATAAGCACTTTCAGAAATTGTGTTCTTCTTGCAGAGGGGAGGTTAGAAGCATTAAGTATGTTTCCTGTTTTCTCAAAAAAAAAAAATTGCATTGAAACCTCTTTTAAATAAAGCTTGTGCTTGGATTCTGGGCAACACTAGACAGGTGGGTTTGGAAGTATCAATAGGTACCAACCTCTGGAAGAGGCTAAGGTACTAAAAGATTCTGCCTCGGTGTCATCCTCTGTTAGGCACAGTGCACAGACCTGTACTTTCGTTTTGGTGTGCAGTGATTCTCTTCTTCCATCTCGTAAAATTAACTGATGTTACTTCATTAGCTATTTGCTTTACAGGAACTATGAAACTCCTGCGGCACCAACCTGGTTTTCTCTAAAGCTGAGAAAATATTGCCACTGAATTAAGTAAGACCAGAGTAAAGCTGAATACATATGAATTTGGACCCTCCCATGAAAACCAGGAAACTCGTATTTCAAGAGTCTGAGCCAATTTGTGCTTCCCAACTTGCCCTGCTTATGCCTGAGTCCGTGAGAAGTCGCTGGGGAATGGGGAAGCTCAGTGCCCGAGGGCCAGATTCCGGCTTTGATAGCTCCTTCCCTGCCAGAAGATATCAGAGACCGGTCCGTTGTGAACCAAACTGGCATCATCCGACCCTGTCCCATGCGGCACTATACTGATGCGATGAATACAAAAAGCTGGATTACACTGCCAAGGGTAAGGGCCGTGTGATTTTTGGAAAAACTCTACCTAGCAACAAGCTCAACTCAAAGATCCTTCAAACTGTATCTGTGTGCAGTAATAAGGGCTGCAACGAAGAAGATAATGGGAAACATCTCATTGTGCACCCTGACTTTGAATAGAGCCCCTGCTAACGCTGAAGTTCAGGGGTTTGACAGGCTGGAGGACAATGCGTTCTCCCTTGGACGGTGATAGCAGCAGATTCATGGCTGCGCTGGGGGAACGGGTTTTCTGAAGATTTATGAACCCGGCTGCCCCTTCCTTGCTGTTGTGTTGCTGTGTGGTCACGTCTCTAGCCAGCTGTTATCAAGCCTTTTTGATGCTGACAATAGCTGGTATAAATGGCGGAGTCTCCAGGGATAAAAAGGGACATTCATGAAATTTTTAATCTTATCTAACAAAGCTGTCCTGTATAACCAGAGATTAGAGGTCTTCCTAAATTGAATATATTTCTTCTTTTGTCCCCTGAAGCTGTAGCCACGTTGCTCTTTTTTTCCCCTCCTTTCCCTTTCTTTTTGTCTCCTTCTCTACCCTTAACTCCGGGATGACGATCCACAAAAATGTTAAGAGAGTATAAAGTATCCTTGACACACGTATCCTTGAAAACTACCAAGAAAGACAAAAAAATAAAACAGTCACAATAAATGAAAAGAAAATTGAATGTTGAAAGCCTCAAACCTACTTGACCATATCAGACAGCTCTGATGGAAGTGAAAATAACCAGCAGACGCCCGCCGCACAGTCACAAAAGGGTGTCTCCTCTTGATGTGAAACCATCAGGGAGCTGCTTCCCGATTTACTGTTTGACAGTTTGGCATCTCTGTTAGAAATGCCTCCAGAACCTTTCTCTCTTTTTCCTTGTCTGTCTCTCACATGCAAAGGCAAACACTGGATGACAGAGGAGACTATAAACACAGCCAGCAGGGAGGATCCAGGTGTGCTCCCTCAAGTTCTATCTGCGGCTTGACTGAGAACCGGCTTAATAACCTCACAGCTCCTCTACAAAGAACCAGACTCTTTTTTTTTTTTTTTGGCCTTTGCAGTAAAGAATACTGCTCAGCTAATAAGCTAGAAATCAGATTTTCTACCCTAAAACACACACGCGCGCGACATTAGTGACAAACCAACCGGAGAGAAAGCTGCTTAGTTAATCGGTGCCGCATGCAGGGCAGACAGGCAATTCTGCTTGACTGAGAAGCTGGTCTGACCTCGAGAACTGTAGAGAGAGAGTTCACTTTCTTTCCTTTATCCTCCTTTTAGCCTCCTTGGTTTCCTGTTTCATTTCTGCTGGCATTTATATTGGAATTTAGCGAGTCCTTCAACACTGGGCTGGTAAGTGCTGTATGAAAACGCATTTATTCTCTGTTGTAAACTGGCTATTTGTAGCAGAAGAATATATATTAACTACCCCCTTCTTGTGAAAGATGCTTACCTTTATATAGTTTAACAAGTGCTTTCTCATGTCTCACAACTTGACGGCTGATCTTAGGCATTACACCATACTGAAATAAACAACCCGCTCCCGGCCTCCAGGACGCAACGAGGACTTGTACATCAACTCCTTCCTTACTCCTTATGGTTACAATTGTAATAACGGCCCTATTTCCCCCTTTATATGCAAATTCATCCTACTTAATCTCTTCTTGTGTCCTGTATTCTGCAGATGAGCAATTTGTTTTGTTTTGACTGTACATCCTGCCTCCCCATATGCTATACAGAAATCCTAAGAGTGCTCAAGTCCCACTACAGGATGAAGTACCAGAATTGCAGGAAGCTCTCTAGGCGTTCTGTGACACGTCTGCAGCACAGACCTACAATTGTCTGGCAATAGGATGGTGATCTTCAACGCTGTGGACCTTGAGGAACTGGGCCCAGATAGCACAGGGAGTACTACAGTTATCCCACTGCATGGATAAAACCTTCCATTATCAATCCTCTCTTGTTTCTGCAAATAGCCCTACATATCAGGTCTATTTGTTTCCTTGTTTTCCAGGGCCCGCCAGCTGACCTGAGTAGTTGAAGACTGGGCTTCTGGAAGAACAACGGGTCTGGGTCTCCTTGGACACGTATTACCGAGAGGGTGTAAGAGTCTGGCCAGTGGAGCCCAGGACAAAGAGGACATCACCGCCAGCTCATCATGGCAATGCAGGCAGCCTTCTGGGTGAGCTTCTGCAAAATATTTACCCGCTTTGTTCTTCTCCCTTTTGCCTTGAAACTGCCTCTTAGGGATGTTGTGAAGATAAACATGTAACAGGTTGTAAAATGATGCTTTGATCATGAGCAGAATAAAAGACAGAATCTCCTCTTACATGGGCATGGGCCAACTGTTCATTATATACACACACTCCTGCAAAACACACCGAAGACAGCTTGACCAAAAAGAATAATGTACATAATTAAGATGTTCGCCCTAAGATCACACAGTATTTTTGGAAGAGAATGGGAGATCACTTTTTCTTCCACTTTCTGCACTTTGCTCCTCCCTACTCCTCGATATTAGGAACGCCAAGCAAAAACGCGTTTCTCAACCCTCACTGCTTACAACAGCGGGTGTTTCTGCCACGCATGCACAGGCTGTACATACCGAGCACCAAAGGTACCAGAACAGCCCATTTCACAGGGAAGAACGACGAGGTATTCCGGTGCCCAAGAAGGGGTCCCCCTGAACAAAAGCACCAAGTGTAACTTTCCCTAGTTCAAAGCTCAGCAGTTCCTCTCCCTTAAAAACCCCACTCCCTACTGATGGGAATGTTGCAATTTTCTTTTATCTACTTCCTCAATAACCTGCCATTAAACACCTACTAGTAGTTTTATTACTGCAGTTCTAAGCTCGCAGCCTACAGAGAGAGAAAGAGCACAGATGTACTACAAAAACTTCACCCAAACGCCATAAAGCCACATCCCAAGGCTAATAAGTGCTGAATTGTAACAGTTTTGAGGCACTTTAAAGGATGGCAGAAGCAGAGTGTCAGTTTTTCATTACTGGTTCAAATTAGGAGGATGGGGAGAGGAAAAATACAGGAAATAAATAGATGCAATAAAGTCTCTGGCATGTAAGCATCCATGAGTGAAAACAGCTCTTTATAAAACTACACCACATGAGGACTCAGATATCAAAGACACACAATGCCCAGTGTTTTAGTGAAGATGCCTTCTTAACCACAGCAGGGTTTACTTTCCACTCCCCATGATTTGAATTTAAATGGATCGTGTTTACTCAAGGGGTCTTTCACTGATTGAAAAATATACCCACAGTTTGTACATTATCTCAGCTAAATTCAAATAACATATTTAAATTTAATTACTTGAAGCTTAGGGGTTTTCATGCTTTTCTTTTTTCCCTCAATTGCACACAACACTACTTATTTGTTCTTATCAATGGCTATGCGTTTTGTCAAGCGTCAAAATTAAATGCTTGAAAGCACTAATGATGTTACTGTGATTAAGGGTTTTTACCTTCCAGGGTAGATACTAAAAGCCTGCTCCGTTATTAATTACTTAAAAAAAAGTATTTCTGAGAATCTAACGCTGAAGAAAAGTCCTCCTAGAAATCAAAACAAGTCTCATCTTCTCTTAATTGGGACAAAACACATTTAAGGGTACCTGGCACGTTTCAGGTTTTCTCTTTGAATATTTACCTTGTACTATTGTGGGTTTTCACATGGGATTTTGTAAATTATATTATCAAATAATCTCCCAGCAGGAAAAGGATATACAACGCAGAGAATCTAATATGGTTTTAATCATTTCTAAAGGCAACACTCTCCAGGCCAGAGAGCAACTTACTCTAGCAGCTGTCGTACTGGCTGCAAATCCAGCAAAGGGAGAACTATCCACCCCTATTTAGGTACATGCACCAGAATAAATTAAAAAGAAAGCAGTCCTGCTCTTTCCTAAACTGCTGGAGTTCAGTTCTGCTTCACGCTGGTCCCTTGGGCCTTTTACCTGCTCCTCTCTTGCCCAGGCAGAAACACCCCTGCTCCCGAGTAAGACCATCCCCGTTCCCCGAGCGCTCCGGGGAAATGGCTTTGCTAACAGAGGAGAATGCATTTTAGCATGACCAAATTTCCAAACACACGCACAGCATCTGTGTAAGGCCATATATGTACATAAGGATAAGCACATGAGAGGCTTTTGCAGACGTGAACCTGCGTGCACACTCAGATTAGACGT